GTAAGGCTTTACAAAATTGTGATCGCAACACTGTATCCGTTTACCAAAAACAAATCATAATATTGTCGCTTAAAAATCACCGATGGATTTATATGTAATATCAGAACAACATAGACACATGATCTATACCAAATTCAAAAATAAAATTAAAAGACATCTACGAGCTTAGGTTAAAAGAAAATTTTAGTCAAAAAGCATCATCATCGGGAAGTGGCTGATTTGCTGCCTCTACTAGCTCAGCCTCATTCCTGCAAATACACACAAAACAGAATATCAATCAACAAAGCAAAAATCACATACAAGAAAATTACATCTCAATGAAATATATAGCTTCTTACCTATGCTGATTAGCAATGTCAATGTGCACTTCAGGTGGAGCAAGAGCTGGTGACTCCACAAAGTGAAGGTTTGCGTCTCCAGCAAGTCTTCTAGCAAAATACAAGAATGGCTTCTCAAAATTGTAATTGCTCTTTGCAGATATATCATAGTACTGCAAATTCTTCTTCCTATGGAATGTGATCTGCTTCGTCTTCACTTGTCTATTCTTCACATCAACTTTGTTCCCACACAGAACAATCGGTATGTTTTCACCAACCCTATATAAATAATTAATACCACATTTAGCTTTTGAGTTTTTTTTTTCTTGTTCAAGATAAATTAAAACACACCTGTATATGCAACAACAAATCCAATTTCTTGTACCTGCAGAGATCATGGTACCATGTCTGTACGTTCTTGTATGTGATCCGTGCTGTGACATCAAACATAATTATCGCACATTGACCATTGATGCTGCAAGAAAAAACAAAAAAGGTTAACTATTTATAGCAACCAAATCAACCATCATCATAATAGTTTCTCCCTTATCAAAGAGAAGTATAAAGATTATTGTTTCGTGAGTTATTTCACACCCTAAAAACTAACTAAGCTTACTCTAGTAGTTTATACACAAATTAATTAACCTGTGATTAAGTAAATCGTAGAAGTTTACTTTTATAATTAACTTACTAGTATCCATCTCTTAGACCACCAAGTTTCTCTTACCCAGCAGTTAAAACAGATCTTGCCATGGTTTGTGAAGAAATCTAAAGGATGAACCTCTACACCAGAAGTAGCTACAAATTCCAAAATTTTAGAGAAGAAAAACTTATGTATTAGTCAGAGAATTGGTTATATATAGAGACATGAAGAATTAATAGACATAAACGACAAAAATCTCATGTCTATATACTTACGTTGATAACTTTTTTCAAATTCTCCGGTAAGATGTCTTTTGGCAAAAGTGGTTTTTCCTGTGCCTCCATCACCAACAATGACAAGCTTGAAGCTAGGATAATCTACCACTTGCTGCTCGTAGTAGTAAGCCTAAACATTAAGACATTCACAACAAAGTCATTAATTATGTGTAAACCCTAGATCAAGAAACGTAATCTGATCTTACGAGAAGAAGATTTTTACCATGTTTTTGGAAGCACGAGAGAGAGAGCGAATGAAACAAGGCAATATAATTTGTCGTAAAGGTTGAAAGAGAGGCAGAGAGATATATATAGGGCACGTTTGACTTGAAGTTGAAGCTATACTCTCTTGACTTAAAGTTGAAGCTACTCTCTTGACTTAAAGTTGAAGCTACTCCCTTTAGGGCAGGAAAAAAACATAGCAGCAAATCCTCTTTGGGTTTGAATGCAACTTGGCTCTAATCCAAACGGAAAAATTCCAATATTTCCCCGATTAATTTTGTTATAAAAAAAAAAGACAGAATGGTTTATATGTAACAAATTAAAGCAACACATTGGTTTACTCCTTGTGTTCTTCCTTAGCCTTAGCCATCTTACTAGCACGTTACAAAAATGGGTAGAGACAAAATTTTACCATGTTTTCGGAAGCAAGAGAGAGCGAACGAAACAAGGCAATCATCGAAGTGTCTTCGTCTAATTAATGAGAATTCCAAGTAGTGCAAATTCTTCGATTATGTTTTGTAGGTTCTTCATCAGATGGGGAAGAACTCCAACATATTTGTTCATCGTACTACTTATCACATGCAGGCATCTAAATTTGATAATTTCATTGCAAACTAAGAGAAACTTCAAGCGTATTAGAAACAGCTGTCTCCATTTTTCAACAAAATAAAATATTTTTGGTTCTCATATATTTCTGAAAGAAAAATACAAACTCATTATTAAAAGAAAAAAATACAAGACATAATTGTCCTTCAAACTTGGCTTTTTTCTAACTACAGAAGCTCAAAGAGTTTCTTTTGAAGCATGCATGCCCAGAAAAGGTAATCTGGGTTCTGAAGATTCCATTATCAAAGGACTTGATGAGCTCTCCCATAGTATCGGTTAATGAACGGCGACTGCAAACAAAGAAGATTCACATATTCAAACTTTTGTAACAAACTAATATACTCAAAACATGCTTCTTCTTATATAAGGGTTGGATAAGGCTAAGAGTTGAATTTTCTTTTGTCCTTACCTGCTTGACTCCTGAGATGTCTGGTGAATGCTGAGGGTAGAATTTGTTAAAAAGAAGAGAGATATTAGATTTTGATGTTGCGTACATACATAACAAGGAAAAACATGCATATATTAATTTTTAACTAGTAGTATTGGTAGTAGCAGGAATAAAACTCACAAGGAATGCAATATTGGAACATCCTAACACGATCTTCCGTCAAATGTCTCAGAGCAGATCTGCAGATAACATACAAAGCTAAATTGAGTAGATTCAAAACAATACAATCTGTATAAAACACCCATACATGCACCACCTTAAGGGAAAAACAATATGCCGAAATGAAGGAACATGTTCAAATTTCAAATTTTATATATGTAATGTTTTAACTCAAAATCCCTTCATAGCAAGTGAACATCGATTTTGTTAAAAAAAAAAAAATCTATTAGTCATCATCCGACAAATTAATGTATGCTTCTTACCTCCTCTGCTTACAGACCAAGCTAAAAATTCGATAGTTCATCCTATCAGCTTGTCTATCTCTGCAAGAAGAACCAAAAAAAAAAAAAGTAATTAGCAACTACCAGTAAACATCCGAAATTAAAGAATAGTCGGTGATTTAAGCCATTCCAACAAATGTGTAAAATATGCACTTGGAACTAAACTTACCTTTCTTCGAACGGAATGTAAGGAACCCACTCCATTTTCATCTGTTTCATTGGAATGATTTCCTCCGTTGCACTTTGAATCGACGTGATTGCTACCTTATCAGAAGGCGGAAACGGTGATTCAATCTGCATATATAAAATATTAGAGAGAGAGAAATGATCAGTATGATATATAGCACGCAAACCGTTGATAGAGATTTAAACAATAACTCACAGCAATAACTGTTGGGACATGGACAATCCTGTTTACACCTTCGTAGAGAACTAACTGAGCTGTAAATATATAAAAAGAAAATTAAACATGAATAAGAAGCAAATAGCGCAACCTCAGAGCAATGGTGAGTCTTTAAAATAAGGTATCTAGATTATTATATAATAACAATATAATTTTAATTATCTAGAAATAATTAAATTATATAATTAAATGATAAAGTTATACTAATTAGAATAAGACATGTGTTAAGAGAAGTTCTAATAAATGCTCTCAAATCTCTCAATTGAGAATCTACTCTAACGTTCTCTTTTTTTTTTTTAATTTATTTAATGATAGTTCTTTAAGCAAATTAGAAAGAACCACCAAAAGTGCCAAAAATGATTTAAACAAGTTAAAAGATAAAGAGACCTCTAAAAACTGCCAAAAATCTTAAAACAAGAAACATCTTACGTTCTGCAGAGCCAAAAACAAATACTTTCTTCCCATATAGCATTCCTCCTTCTTCCAATGCTTCCTAGACATAAATATCATAATCTTGTCAACCTCGAAAAACCTATCGGCTCAACAATAAACAACACAAAAGAATGGAGAATGCAATCCAAACAACTTACTTCAAGATTTTTGAAATCCCAATTGAATTCATAAATTGCATCTAATTGGTTCCACTGCCATCACAATATAACAAACACAAGCAAAGAATATCAATGGAGAAAGAGAGTAACTCCAATGTTGAAGCCAAATAAACTCGTAAAAACAATATACCTCAGTTCCCACTGGAAATGCAACCTTCCACAAATCTTTCTGAAACACACAAAAAACAATCCCACATGTATGTAAGTTATTTGAAAAATGAGATACATTACAATCCTAGATCAAGCTCACGTATGGCACAAGAATTAGAATGACATACATTTTGTTTTCATAGAGATAAACCCTTACGCCTTATCATACCATTCTTACACAACCGAAATAGTGATAACCCTAGATTAATAAACGTAATCTAATCTTACGAGAAGAAGAACAAATCAAAGGGAAGAGAGAATGTTTTACCATGTTTTCGTAAGCACGAGAGAGCGAATGAAACAATGCAAATATAATTTGTTGTCGAGGTTAAGAGAAACAGAGAGATATAAATATAAATCCCTTGACTTTGAATTGAAGCTACTCCCTTGACTTAAAATTGAAGCTACTCTTTTTATTACACATATCTAGAGATGTAGAGAAATGTTTCAAAAAAGGCAAAAAGGTCTAAATAACAGAGTCCAAGTCCAACACGTACTAGAAAATATTAAAGCTTGGATTTTGTTTGTATCCATCTTGAATATTTTAACCCAATATTTAGTTAAAGTCTGTAGAAAAACTTTTCTTTTTCCTTTTTTTTTCAAATTTTAGATGGAAATGTATCTCGGAAAGAGAAAAAAAAAACTGAAATTTTATTTTAATACAATTTCCCTAATTA